GAGGCTGTTTTGGATCTGCCCTGAGAAGAGCGCTGATAAGGTGGTGTTTAGCTGGTGCTGGGGAGGGCTTGAACCAACTCACGGTCTTTTCAGCATCTGATACCACACCTGCGTTCCCAACTTTCCCACTACAAGTAGTGGGGGGCAGCAGGACACGGATACGACCCGGTTCAGAGCGCTAACCCAAACGAGCCAAAGAAGTATTTCATTCCACAGAAGGTTGTGGTCAGTACATAGTGGGGAGTGGACCGGGGAGGCATACCTTGCTTGCTTGCTCGCTAGCGTGCTCGCTTGTTCCTTTAGCTCATTTGCTGGCTTGTTTGTTCATGCCTTAGTTAGATAGTGAGTCGGTGGGTTGGTTGGCTTTCCCTGCCGTGCTCCTGGGGGGCTTCCTCGGACTCTGCCGTGATCGCTCTCAGTCTCTCTGGCTCTGACTCTTGCTGGTCAGGGGCTGGTGAGCAATTGTATCATTTGTTTTATTTTAATACTAATTATTATTAGTAGTATTACTATTATTAACATCACTATAATTTTCATTTATATTCAATTATTAATTTTTTCTTATCTCAATCCATGAGCTTCTTTGTCTTTTCCTCTGATTCTCCTCCAGCACTGGAGGGTAGGGAAGGTAAGTGAGCGGCTGTGTGCTACTTTATTCCTAGTCAAAGTTAAACCACAACAGTACCACAATGCCCATCATTTTAATGTCAAATCTTTTAATTTCTTCTTCCTTTATATTTGCTTCAAGTAGTAAATACATAATATAAGTACACTGCCATTTTGCTGCTGAATGTGAACATAGGAGTGTACGAGGGGACAGACCTGCTTAGATACTTCGGCTCAAGCCCCCTCATAACAGCTCTGTTCTCCACTTGTCTTGCTTGTAGTACATATTTCTCTGTACTGTCAGAGTCCTCCACTGGAAAAACTCTGGATGTTTTACAGAGTTAAAAAAAACATGTATCTGAACTCCTAGCCAGTCTTAAAAAATGAATGTAGCAGTAAATGGCTCAAGTCATGTCAAATACATAAGGCTAAACGTGGATATTAATTATATAACCAGAGGGACTTAATTTACTTTGGAGAGCAATTAAAAGAAGACAGAAAGTTACAGTCTGTTTCTGGAAAAGAGTAATGTCTATTTAAAAATAACTTCCTACCCAGAATAGCTGCCTGTCTCATATAGTAACAAATGTCGGGGGAGGGGAGGACACGACATTTAGGCAGTTAGAGCATTGCTTCTTTATGAAAAAATCAACACAAGTTTTAAAATAATAGAAGTTGACAGTTAGTTAGGTGTCCAGATCCTAATGTCCCATCCCTGGAAGTGTTCAAGGCCAGGCTGGATGAGGCTTGGAGCAACCTGGTCTGGTGGAAGATGTCCCTGCCCATGGCAGGGGGGTTGGAACTAGGTGGTCTGTAAGGTCCCTTCCAACCCAAACTGTTCTGTGATTCTATGGTTCTATCCACATTTCAGCTTGTAAACAAAGAATTTGCTTTTAAAACTGGCTGAACAGCACATTAAGATTTAGCTTCCCTTTGTGTTTATTCTCCATGGACTGGTTAAGGCAATGAAAGAGGCCTCATCTTCCTTGGGACAGGTTTAAGGACATAGAGGGTTTGTTTTTTTAATATAGAGTACAGTTTACTATTTCTCTGAGTTATTCTAGTAGTCTGATTGTCTCTTCTTTTTTTTTTTTTAATTTTTATTTGTAATGTATTTGTCTGTTCAGAGAGGATAGGCAAGGATTCCTTTCAAGTATATTAATCAGAACTGGAGTTTGTTCTTATATCCATGTACTGGGTTTGTGTGTCAAAGTTTTGGTAGTGGGGGAGGTTACAGGGGTGACTTCTGTGAGAAGCTGCTGGAAGCTTCCCCCATGACCGATAGAGCCAATGCCAGCTGACTCCAAGACAGACTCACCACTAGCCAAGGCTGAGCCCAGCTTTGATGGTGGAAAGTTACTTTCATCTTCAGAGTATAGCACAGCGTCAAAACTTCTGATCCACCTTTTTTAGTGCTGTCCTGATTTAAATACATTAGAAAGAAACAGCATATTTAGTTGGTCTACTCAACGCAGCACTTTTTTTTTCCTTCTTCCAGGAGTATCATGTTTTAAGTTTTCCTGTGACGTGTTCCCCTCTGCCCTGTTGTGAACGTGACTAGAGTGGGATTTACAAAAAGAAAGTTTAATGCATACAGACACGACAGCAAGAAAAGGAGCTGAGGTTGTGTTTGTCTTGTTTATTTCAAAACTATAGTGAGAAAGAGCTTCAAAAACCCCCTGAAAGCTCTCCGAGAAGACAGCATTTGGGAGCCAGGGGCTATTACCTTTATACTTCAGCAGAATCTCTTTGCTTTTATGTCACTGTTTCTAAAGTGGAAAAAAGTTGGAGACAGGGAGAAAGAATATCAATTCTGAGTGCCTTTCTCAGGCAAAATTTTACTGAAACTAGAAAGTTCATATAAACCAGGATTTCCAGACGTGACAGCAAGAAACTTTTAACTCTCCTATGGCAACTTCAAACTCTTCTGGCGAGAAAGGATGGGGCTGTACACTGAAGCAATCCGTGGTGACACATGTAGCACCATTCCCACCCTCTTCAACGGGTTTGACACGCTCTAGGTCATGTCACTGTCAAGGGTGAGCATCAGACACCAGTTACATCATTCACTTTGTTAGGCAAGCAGGGTTCTTACTTGCATTTTCAAATGTGACTGAGCCAGTGAGATATTACCTTCACTGTTAAAATTCCAAGAACACATACATATATATATATAGAGAGAGAGTCTTTTATTTTCTTTAAAAGGTCTTCAATTTAAAAGGAAAGAAACTAAAATAAACTTAAGACAGGGAGAATGTGTATCTGCTTTGTTGCTTTAAAGCTGAATTCATTGCCAAGTTGTACACTCTTCTTAATCTGCACTTGCCAGCAATAAGAGGCAAGTGAAATCCTGATCCTAACAACATGAAATTATGTCTATACTGGGAACTTTAATATGCTTTAGTGTAAATGCATCCATGCAGCTGTTTCAGGTGAGTGCAACCGAGCACAGGGGCCAGAACAGAGCCACTCTCTGTTCCAGTACTCTATCTGAACAAAAAGGGAATTAAAACTGAGGCATATACTGCAGACACCACCTGTCTGGAAATCCACATTGTTATTAATATGAGCAAATTGTGACTAATTAGCTTTTCTGTGGGTGTCAATTGTGACTAATTAGCTTTTCTGTGGGTGTCTTGAGTTCTTAAAGGATAACTTTTTAAAAAGTTCTGTGCTGTCCACTGTATAAAGGTACATGAATGCAGCTTCATTTTGTACAGTAAACACTGATAGAGGCTCTCTGTTGTGCAAATGACCTTTTCTAATTTGAATTTCAGATCTGCATAGTGCTTCACTTTTCCAGTAGTCAAAAAAGTAGTGTGTAGCATTAGACCACAGTAAAGAAGAAAAGAAAAAAGCATTAGTACATCCATCTTATATCCAGTTTATTTAATACCATAGCAGTAAATACAGATGAGAGTTCTGCCTGACAGACAGTCTATTAGTAGTTCTGGAATTCCACGTGTGCTGGAAAGCTGAAGGGTGTACATGAGTAGTGTTCAAATTCAGACTCAGATATTAACAATCCAGGTAAATGCACTACTGCTGACAGGGCAGAGCAGCATCTGCATAGAAATAAAGCAACACTGTGCCTGTCAACACTGAGAACTCTATTCCAATATTTGTAGTCTTAAAGTGAAATAAACAGTGTATTTTCCTTAAAAAGTGATCTTTGGTCATCACTTATTAAAATGTGCTTTAGTTTTATTTTACAACAGTAAGGCTAAGATTAAATAACTTTATCTTATGGGGTGGGCACTTAAAAAATCAGTATTCTGCTGTGGCTGATCATCTTCCTAGTTTCAATGCAGGCAAAATCCCAGAGCAGAGGCAGACTTCAACTCAGAAGGTTACAAAGACTGAGTCACAGCTGACCTCTAGAATGGGTAAGAAGAAAGAGTTAATCTCCAGATCTTTTCCCTTTCATGATTCCTGCATGAGCACAGCACTTTCAAACACACTGGGCCAAGCCCTTATTTAATTACATCTCCAGTAAGAGCTCTGAATGTCAATTGACAACGTATTTAGACCTGTCTGATGTTTAATATCCACTCCTGAGAAGTGTAGCTAACATACTCCTTAGTGCTCTGTCAACTGGTGTTTCAATACCACAGCTACGAGTGGTTGTAAAGACACACATCCTTAGGAAAACCACTCACCCCACTAGTGCTCTCTCAACTGGTGTTACAACCACTCGTAGCTGTGGTATTGAAAAGACACACATCCTTAGGAAAACCACTCACCCCACACTTGGAGCACAGGTCTTACCAGTGGGCTGGCCTTTACGTCCAGGCAGGCACCCTAAAGAACTCATGCTCTTTACTAGTCCATGTGCTTCTCAAGCTTCCACTCCCACCTAAAACTGCAGAGGCACATCCACCTTACAGGTTAAGGCTTAACACGTTTGTTCCAGCCCAGCCCACGAAAACTGCTCTGTGAAAGGGATCAGCCCAAGATGTCACACTATCCCTGGACATTATTTCAACTGAACAACGACCTTGCCAAAGCAGTCCAGTGCTCACTGACTAACATGTCACTAACATTTCAGTTCCCACCTTCCTCGACCCTCTCTACTTTCTTTCATCACTCAAAAAAAAAAAAAAAAAAGCTACTGAAAGAGGAGACAATACCGCTCTGTTGATCTGTCTCCTACTTCCGGTGCCTCTGCAAGGCAGCTTTGCAGGTAAACACCTTTTGTGGATTTGGTGCCTAAGCATTTAATTCACGTGGACTTCAGGAGGTATGAAGCACCTTCAGGTACACTAGGATCTGAGACATCCTTCCAATACAAATCCATTGTCACATACAGCAAGCAGTGTTTTGCTTTTCTTTTGTGCATGTGTTCTTGCACAAAAAAAAAATTACTCCTCAGAATTGTGAAGTAAGATTTTGATCAGCAAGGCTGAGATTATTGGCAATAACTGTTCATATTTCAGTCACACCTAGAAGCTCTATCCAAGACCATGCTGGTGTTGAATAAATACAGACTAGAACTCCCCTCTGAAGAACTTACGTGATAAAGGGTGAGAGGAGCAGCTTAGCGTTTAAGTGACATAGCCCTAACACAATAAATCTGTAGTGGAACTGGAAACAAAAGGTGAGGTCTTCTAGGTCTAGACCCTGTCCACTTGACCATACAATCTCCTGCCTTTGGTTTCTACTGTCTCACTCCTCCAGACATTGACCTTTGGAGGAAGCTGCCTGAATCCCAAGAGCTGCCTGTGCTCTATTATTTGAGGTTGTTCCTACTGCAAGACTAACCATCTTTTACACAGATTTCCTTCTCTTTCCAAACATGTTGTTGATTAACTTGGCCACTGACTTCGATCCACTTGGCCGTCTCTTTTCCTTCACTTTGAAATTTGATGTGATATTCCTCAGGACTTTTGTGAACATTGCCACAACTTCCTGATAATGTTCTGCTGCAGACAGTTCACAGAACTGACACTTGTTATCCACTGCCAGCTTCTGTCCTTCATCCCAGCCAACTTCCCTCATGTGGCACAAATCCTGTTTATTACCAACCAAAAATACGGATGACTCGACCATTCTGAAATCAAAAAGGTTCTGATTAGAGAAAAGATATATTACAGTGCTGCAAAAAACCCCCCAAAAAACCCCAACCAACCCCCTAACCCCATCAGGTAGAACTACAGTTCTCCATTTGTCACATGTCAAAGGATTTTCCAGACAAACTGCTACACTACCAGTAAATTTGCTTTGGGTTCCTCTACTCTGTGAGCTCATGTATTTTTCATCCACTGCAGTTTTCTTACTCTGTACTGCAGTGCATATTGTGAGTTCCTGGGCTTTCTGAAGAAGCAAGCTAATCATTATCTCCATTAGTAGATTAAAAAAAAAAATTGTCAATGATATGATCAGTGGCATAATGCAGAAGAAATATAGGAATCCTAATTCCAAGCTTTTGCTAAAGTGATTCTTTCCAGAGAAACCTTAATTATGAAAGGTCAGCAGTAAAAACACACAGAAAAAGGTGGGTTTGGTTTATTTTTTAATTTCTTTTTTACTCCACTTCTGATACAAGGAAAGTATTTCACACTCCTTTATTTAGAAAGCACCTCAGCTGACTAACACAGGCATACACACCACCACACGTACTTACAATTTTGGTGGTTCTTTTTGAAAGGAAGTAGTTTGTTTCTTACCATATGGTCACCCATGTGCACAATAACATTGGGTTCACCACTAAAGGCAGTTTAGGAGACATTCATGGTATTAGATTCATTTATTATGGGAAATGCTTTCTTCTACACCCACATTTGTCCATCTCCATTGGTAACAGAGTGGGGGAATAAAAGCATAAATTGATTCTGCCAGCTTTTTACCCATATAAATCACAGCAGACAGGTTTACGGCAATCGCTTAAGTAGCAGTGCTGTAAGAAATACGGACAAAACAAACCCTCATGCATTTGGCTTTGGATACAGTGAAATAGGTTGCAATTTGCAACAGTTTACCTTCAGGTACCTTACTGTTGATATTGCGTAACACCACTAGGATGTTGCTGGATTTTAATCGCTACTGGGATGCCTATAGCTCACAGGAATATTCTCATGTTTTTCATAGGTTTGCTTAGGGGAAAAAGAAAAGTGACTTACTTTTTACAAGCTCCTATGTGAGACTCTCGGATCCTGTACAGCAATGCTTTTGCAAATGCAAATGACGCTCTGTCACTGATGTCGTAAACAATGATAAATCCATCAGCCCAGTGGAGCTCATCGGTGAGGGAAAGCTTCCCCCGCTGTGGCTGAAAGGAGTTCAAATTCACATGCAAAAAGGATGTTACTGTTGTCACTTCAGAGCGTTTTCTTTGTCCCTGCGAATGTTGTATTTTTCATCGCAGAAGATATTAATAGGTCTAGGTGCTAGCATTGAATTCAGGCGAGTCCTGCCCCAAAAGTCTAGTAAATAACCACAACTACAGATGGCACTTTGGATCACTGACAAATTCATTATGAAACATTCACACTTTAAGCAGTCATGTTGCATAACCTGTACAGCCACTGCTTATGCTGAATATTCTTCAGAGTTACAGGAGATTGAAACATACAGGAGACATCAATATTTGTGCAGTTTCTGGTTATAGCTCTGTTTTGCATGTTTGTAATACCTCTGACTACAGTAAGCTTAACTGGTTTGTTAAAAATTCTTTGTTCCCACTCATTTATTTTGTTTCTTCTTTACATTGTTAAGGTCTGAAACAGTATTTATCTAGAGAGCTAGAAAAAAAAAAATCTCCTCTCAATCTGAAGTTGACTTTAATAAGACTAGTGCCCAAGTCACTAAAATGATAATGGGGTTATACCAATCCTCGAGTCCCCAAGAAAGTGTCACACTGATTTCCACTGATTAAGCTAAGGAATGTAATTTCAAAACTATTTTAAGTTAGCTTATGGCTGCAAAAGATTTGGTAGCAACCAGCAAGACCATGTGACACAAAATAGGTAAAATACTGGAATCTGACCAGGAAAAAAATTAAAGATTGACTTCTGCTCTACGGAAAATCCATCTTGAATAGTAATTTGAGGACTGTTTAAGTTGTTCCTTGCTAGTTTAGTGTTTTGCTACTTGCAGTGTATAATCTCCACTGACATCCCAGCCTGGTTGCCCTGATTGACTCAGCATCATGGCAGCACTGCAGCATCATAAACAGCTGGACTGGGAAGGCTGCAGTTTACCATGAGCGATGGTAACTGAAAGGGGATGTATAAAAGGATTAAACAAGTTTCCAGAACCATCTGAAGACTTCAGTATCTTTAATACAACAGCTTTTAATGCTGTGGTGACTGTGCAGAAGGTTTAGGGGCAAGAAAGGTGCCTTGTGTCACTGCTGTTTCCCAGATGGATGAAGAGGACATTGAGCTTTGCATAACAGGGATTCAACTACTAGAGGCAAATCTCAGAGCAGGAAGCAGAAAACAAAACCAGCAACTCTTCCTTCCCCAGTCGGGCCTCCTCTTGGGACTTCTGTCTTCCCCAGCTCCCATGGGATACAGGATCTCCATACCCCATCCATCTCTTTCTAGAATCACCAGTCCCATCAGACAAAAGGCAATACTACCACTACACCCTACCTACTCCCCTGCAGGCACTAAGAACAATTCAGGAAGAAAGCAGCAAACACCTAAAGTTAGGCCTTGTTCTTAAGAACTGATACAAGACTGCTCAGAGTCCTGGCAGGAGGAGTGGCCCTTACACAGCTCATCTCTAGTGTCCTTAAAAGCAAAAAGGTGCCCAAACTGTAGCAACCAAAGTCTTTACCCACAGTGTAATCGATTGCTTTACTTAAACTACCTCTCATTCCCAATGTTTCAAGTATCTTAAAGATTTGTTCACATGCCACAGGATTTCATTTCAGTCAGCGGAAGCTATAAAGTGGGCTTAGGAAAGAGGCCTGAGATAGGCGGAAACAAGTCCACAGGAATGGCAGCTTCTGAAAGATTACTGTGTGGCAATGGAGGACTCCATAGTGTTACATTGCACAGGGACTATTTCAGGATCCCCGCTGCCCTGGGACAAGCAATGCTGTTGCTCATCTCTAGGAAGGCAGATTTGTTTGGTTGTTCACTTCATGTGCTCGCTGGGTTCAGTTTTTAAGACCTTGACTTTAAGTCTGAGTCAGACTTTCAGTACTTTGGCCTTAGCGTTCATTAGCCTAGTTGGTAAGAGGCAAAAATCACTGCCCAGAAGGGATCCTTGCGAGCCCATGCAATCAGACAGACCTACCTAGGTCTGCATGTGTTACACAGTACCAAAGTTTCTCTATTCCTGTAAGAGCAGGAAAGAAATTAATACAAAAAATTGTATTGAAAAGTAGTTTACTGTGATCAAAGTTCAGTTGTCAAGATATATAAGTCTACATTATAGCTTTCCTTGGATTTGTTCAAGTCTTACTTCCAGGCCTATCTACTTTGACCACTCCTGCAGACATTTAATAAACTGCTTGCTTTGAAACTAAATTTCATCCATTTAGGGTATTTGAGAGAACTGCATATAATCCTTTAACTTATCTCTGTATTTATCTATATAACACAGAAGTGGGAAAAGTTATTTTTTAGTAATATTCCAAAAATGCAAAAGCATTTACAGAAATTTTAAGCAATCAAGTGTTTCTTCCATGAAATGGGAAAATGCCACAGCAACAATAAGATTTCAGTCTTTTCAAAAAACCAGCAAGCACAAATTCCAGAATCAGACAGAAAGGTTGTAACCCCCTAACCCTTTTTGCCATTACACATGTAGAATGAGGAACAGCCTTGGTTTTGCCCCCTAAAACTCTTACCTGTGAACAAGGGTCATAAATTTCCAAGTGTATCGGCCTCCCATCCAGGCATAAGTATTTAGTGTAGATGCATTCTAAAAGATAAATGGCATCCAAAGAAAACCAGCATTAGTGACAGGGAGTGGTGGTCAAAAGGCAGCAAAGGTGAGATTCGCTAATACTGAGGTGACATTTAGTTCCTTGAGCATTGTTTGGTTTTTCAGGGGTTGGGGGAATGATTTTGGTTTTTTTGAAGGTTTTAGGGAGCTTTTGTTGTTGTGTGTGGTGTTTTTTTTTTGTTGTTTTAGGATTTATTTGTTGTTGGAGTTTGGTTTTAGTCAAACACTGGAAACAAACCTATTTCTTTTTGCAACACTTGAGCTGCCCAATCCCATTTCAGTGTGGTGTTCCCATCAAAGTGTTGGTGCAATGAATACTTAAGAGTTCATCTGATTATGAATTATCAGTCCAAGCATCTCAGGGTACAAAATCTGCAGCTCCTTGATGGTTTTCATAATTAAGCAAGTAAGTAATACTTTGACTCTACCAGTAGTGGTATGATCTGTATTTTATGATCCATATTCCCGCTTCGCTCTCTCTTCCTCCTCCCTAGAAACAGTTAAACTTAACTTCCAAACATGTGAAAATGTTTTGGGGCTTTGACATGCCTTTTCTAAGACTCACAGCCTTGGAGGCTCAGAGCAAGGACACCTGCATTTAGTTGTAGGTGGCTTAGAGCGCACGTGGAGCACAGAGAGCACTACACTTGCATATGGCAGCTTAGACCTACAGAAGCTGTTTTTCAGTTTGTATTATATAAGTACTGGTAAAGCATTTATGCACAACTGCAACTCTACTTTCTGAACAAGTTAATTATGATTTATTCAAAGCAAATCACTTTAGTACATGTATTTCGCTTTTTATTTATGGATCATGGAGAACTACTCTAATTTTTCTTTACATTAATTTTTTTTGAAAGACTCCTTCACTTCGGCAGGGGAAAGTGAGGTAGATGGCAATCTCTTTTCCTTGCTAACTCTTGGGACTACTCACACTCCATCAGCTGGGGCAGCACGCTCCCAAAGATGTCCATTTATCCATTAAACAGTACTTCTATCTGGGATGTGAAAGCTCAAGCCCTGCCTTGCCATGTTCCAAGATCTCAGAAGTGTCTCAATCGGTGTATTTGTTCTGGCACGAATGAGAAATGCTACCCTGCACACAGGCAGGTTTTCCACGACGCTATCAAGCCAGCGCACTCCTGCCAATGCGGGGGGGCTTTGCGTTATGCTGTGATTAACCAGAGCTGCCTGATAAACAATCCCTTTCACCTCTCCTCTGGCGCTGAGAGGGAGATACTCAATAGAACAGGTGATGAGGGGTTTTTGTAAGTGTATTTCTTTACTCTCCTCTTTATCTCCTCTCTGGTGGAGCTCACTATGATCTACCC